ACCAGCCGTGGGCAAACTACAGCCCGCGGGCCCGATCCGGCCCGTTTGAAATGAATAAAACTAAAAAAAAAAAAAAAGACCGTACCCTTTTATGTAATGATGTTTACTTTGAATTTATATTAGTTCACACAAACACTCCATCCATGCTTTTGTTCCGGCCCTCCGGTCCAGTTTAAGAACCCATTGTGGCCCTCGAGTCAAAAAGTTTGCCCACCCCTGATCTAGACTAAGAACTCTCAGGTTAAGGTGGCTGGCTACTTTTTTTTTGCTGTGTAATCCTATGCAAGTCACTTATCTGTGACTCTCAGGCATCACAAAGAGATTTTTTAAAGATCAAAAGAGTAACTTGAAATGCTCCATAAAGTATAATATAATACCATATAAAAGGTATTATTATATAATTTTCAGTTACTATCCTTATAACAGATTTAAGAAATCTACAATCCTCAACTATGTTTATACATACATATTATATTTATATATATATTATTTAAAATTTCAAAAGATAATCGTTTTTGGATAATATAAATTTCATCAGATGAAAAATCTGCACATACCTAATTTGTTTTCTGACTGCACTTGCCATGGCCTTCTCACAAGTTTAAAAACCTACTTCCAAAAAAGTAGAGAAAAAACTACTACTAAAAAGTTTATGTAGATTTATAATTTAGGGACACACCTCATACTTTATCACCACGGTCCAGCTCCCTTATTACACAGATGAAAGAAATAAAAAAAGAAAGGCCCAGAAAGAGTAAGCAACTAGGGCCAAGTCAAACTAATGCGTTTTCTGATTCCCAAACCATTGTCCTTTCAACCAAACCAGTTAATATGTAAACCTCTCTCTCAAAGAGCCTACCAAAATTATCGCCACATTACCTTTTAAATAATTACCAGTTTTCCCTATGGAAATCATAAACTCCTTAAGAATAGGCACTTTTCTCTCCTATCTTTTCCTAGCAAAACTTCAACCATGTAATACTTTCATAAGGTATGTTTTTTAATCAGGCTTAATAAAAAAACCTTAAGCACACAAAAAGATGCTCTATATCATTAGGCTTTAGAGAAGTGCAAATTAAAACCACAAAGAGATATCATTACACCCTAGTTATATCATTAAAAGTTAAACTAAACTGAAAAAACACACACCTTACATTGCCAAGTACCAACAATGTACAGTAACAACAATGCTCATAAACTGACGACTGGAGTGCAAAATGGTACAGCTACCTCAGAAAAGAGTTTCATTTACCATATGAAGACATGGCCACCCAAAAAACTATACACAAATATCTGTAGCAGCTTTATTCAGAATCACCAAAAATTGTTAACAACCCAAATGTCTATCAGCTGGTGAACGGATAAACAAATTGTGGCATTCAGCAATAAAAAGACTGATGATACATGCAATAACATAGATGAATCTGTTTTATGCCAGTTGAAAGAAGTCAGACTCAAAATGCTACATACTGTATGAATTCCAGTTATATAATATTCTGGAAAAGGCAAAATATGAGGACAGAAAACACATCAGTGGTTGCAAGGGCTGGATGTAAAGGAATGAGTTGACTACAAGGGTCATGAGAAAACTTTTTTAAAGTGATGGAGATATTCTGTATCTTGATTGTGGCTATGGTTACACAATGAATAAGTTTGTTTGTTTTCTAATCCTCCCCCGAGAATGTTTCTGATTTTGAGAGAGAGAGAGAGAGAGAGAGAGAGAGAGAGAAACATCAATGAGATCAATGAGAGAGAGAAACATTGATCAGTTGCCTCCCCTACTTGGGGACTGAACCCACAACTAAGTCATGCCATGACCAGGAATTGAACTCACAACCTTCTGGACCATGGTATGATGCTCCAATCAATTGAGCCACTTGGCCAGGGCTACAATGTATAAATTTGTCAAAATTCATAAAACTGTACTCCTTAAAAGGGCAAATTTAACTGTCTATAAATTATACCTTAGTAAAGTTGACTCACCCAAGGATTTTAGAGAGATGAAGGGGGAGGGATCAAGGAGGGAGAAAGAATGAGAGGGAAAGAGGGGGAGAGAGAGAAACATGGATCAGTTGCTGTAATTTTGGTAGGCTCTTTGAGAGAAACATTGATCATTTACCTCATTTACTCACCCCAACCAAGATCAAACCTGCAACTTTTTGGTGTACAGGATGATGCTCCAGCCACCTTCTTCTTCATTCTAGCTTTCACTACCTGAGACCTTGAGTAAGTTAAAACACTTTTATAGTCTACTAGAGGCCCAGCGCACAAAATTCGTGTGCGGTATGGTCCCTAGGCCTGGCCTGCGATCAGGGCCATCTTCCCCGGCCTGCCTGCAGCTGGCCCCGCCCCCTGTCGCCACCCACCCCCGGTTCCCCTTTTGCCATTGGGTGATCAGTGCCTGATGGCCAGGGGAAAGGACCAAGAGGCCAGCTGTTCCTGCCCGCTCGCTGGCCCTGCCCCCGCCACGGGTCATCCTGTGTGTATGGGGCAACCGGCGGGGCGGGGGCCTTGGCCTGGCACCACCTCCCCCACCACCCCCCCCCAGATCCCCGTTTGCTATCAGGCGATCAGAGCCTGCCGGCCAGGGAAAGGGACTGAGAGGTGGTCAATGCACCTCATAGTGACTGGTCCAGCGGTCATTCTGCCATTAGGGTCAATTTGCATATTACCCTTTTATTATATAGGATGATTTCCTCACTTAAAAATAAGGGGACTATAATACCTTACTACTACCTTTCCAGTGTTAAGTCATATTACTGAATTGTAGATACATTTTCTGGATCATGTCTATTTTTCTTAGAATTCTTAAAATTATATTTATATTATGTTTATGGTAAATATTTCAAGACACATGAATTTAAAAATGTCAAAATTAAAGCAATCACTATTGCTTTAATGTCTTTTAATAAGAAATTTGCAGATGTCTTTTAATAAGAAATTTCATTGTTAGGAATTAATTTTTTTATTTATTTTTTTTACCAATTCCCTTTCAATACATCAAAATACTGTAAAGAAAATAATACTTTATACAATTTGGTGCAAACCTAAAATTAAAGGAAATCAAATTAAAATACCTAACCACATAAAAGGGTAGACATTTAATATCTATAAAATGAAAGAAATGTATATAAATTCATAGTTTATTTATATTTACTAAAGCAATACATATCTTTCATGAGTCATACAAAAATTCCACTTTCTAATCTAGCCTGAAACTAGTTGAAATCAAGAGCTGCTCTTAGTTAAATATTAAAGTCAATTTTACTTGGAGCATTGGGAATATCCTTGGGAAGATTTCATTAATCCCTAATTAAAAACATTCCTTGTGGTGTTTTCAGATGCTGCCTCTGCTGCAGCCACCACCAGAGTCATCCTTTTATAGCACCGGTGCCACCTCTAGCCTACTAAGCTTCTGTCAAAAAGAAGAGGGGGTAAACAGGGAGGTCTCTCTATTATGGCTCCTCCAAGATGAATGCCTGCAAAAAGATCAGCAGAAAATCACTCAGAAAGCAACCAGCTACAAAAGTCACTCTGAAAAGGTGAAGGAACCACATGGTGACAAGCTTAAAACTGTGGCTGTCAATAAAAATCCTAAGTACACTGAATTTCTCGCTTGCAAAAGCTTCCCTTCTAGCATCAAGTGTGAGAAATTGCTTGGGACTTTCAAACAGATCTGCACTCCCAGAGTGCAGCTACTGGCACTAAAGAAGGCAAATAAGGCCTATTTAGTTGGACTCTGACCTATATGTTATCCATACCAAATATGTAACAATTATGCCAAATGATATCCTGCCAGCACAACTCACATGTGGAGAATGAGATTAAGGTGAATTATGATGGGAAAATTTTATTCTTAAAAAACAAAAAGTACCTAATTATATGACTGCAAATAAAAAAGAAAACTAGGTGAGAGAATAAAGTATTAGCAAATACCCACTTCTCCCATTTTCATTTGTGTGTAAATTTTTAATATTAATTTAGGACATAAAACATTCATGTAAGTAAAATGTTTCAATGAACAAATTTCAGCAATTAAACTTTATAACAATTATAAACAAATTGTTAACTTGTTTAGGGGGAGGAAAAAAACATTTCCTTGCCCCCTAATGTTTACATAATAAAAATCTGAACTCCTTATAGGTATAACAAATCCTTCAGAATTTTGAGACACAATATGCCAGAACTATCTTCTCACTCAATCCCAGCACCCTAAGCATCTGCACTAAACTTTTGCTACTTCTTAAAATGCATTACAAATTTTGTGTTTTAAATGTTATTCCTTCTTTTTTTTAAAAAATATTTTATTGATTTTTTACAGAGAGGAAGGGAGAGAGATAGAGAGTCTGAAACATCGATGAGAGAGAAACATCGATCAACTGCCTCCTGCACACCTCCTACTGGGGATGTGCCCTTGACCGGAATCGAACCTGGGACCTTTCAGTCCACAGGCCGACACTCTATCCACTGAGCCAAACCGGTTCTGGCAATGTTATTCCTTCTAACTAAAACCTCTGAACTTTTTTTTTATCCTCACCCGAAGATATGTTTATTAATATGAGAGAGAGAGAGAGAGAGAGAGAGAGAGAGAGAGAGAAAGAAACACTGAAAACATCCACTGGTTTCCTCCCATAAGTGCCCCGTCCGTGAATCGAACCTGCAACCCAGGTATGTGCCCTGACAGGGAATGGACACTCCAACCAAATGAACCATCTGGCCAGGACTGACCTCCTTTTTTACATGGCAATCAAGTCATCTTTGGGACCTAGTTAAATGTTACTTTCTCACGGAATCCCCTAAATTAAGCCAACTGTTTAGGATTTCTGCTATGCACATAAGGATGTTTAGCTGAAAGGTCATAATTGGAACTGTAACTTCAAGTAGCATATTTAATAACTAAAAAATTATTATCAGGAAGTTGAGATATTATCTACCCCACTGAGTGTTAGGGGTGGAGTCCTTACAATATTTTTAAGAAAAAGAATTTTCTGAGACTTGCACATGAGGATGAAAGATTTTTATTTGCTTGGAATTGTATGTCTGTGCTTCTGAAGTGTCCTGGAAGAAGGGCAGCTGGGGATTCAGTAAAGCTAAAAGCAAAGCCAGTGTCCAGAGTTTCCGTTCCATGTTGCAGCCGGGTCCAGTTCAGCATCAGGCTAGTTGTAGTCCATTAGTCCATGGTATGTGTGGATCCACATGGCTGGGTCTATGAGAGAGCCCTGCAAGCCAGGAGTCAAGCACAACATGCCAAGAGCCAAGAGAGCAAACTTCTTTGTTCAGGGAATTAAGTATCCCAAATCTCCCTGTGCTTGCAGTAGCCATGTCCAATCTGGCTAATGACCTCTGTTCTTAGGTGTGAATGATAGCAAGCAATTTCCCTATGTCACCCCATCTTTACTGGCCATGTGTCTATTCTCCCTCCTGTCCAGTCCCTTCCCCTAGCAATCTGTGGGGGAATGGACCGGTGGCTCCCTAGGGAGTGTGAAGCTGCAGCTTCCTGACAAAGCTACCCAAATGACAACCTATAATATTTGGCCTTCCCTTTGCTCCTTTCCTGTTATTCATAACTAGGCTAATTACAAATGTCTCATTATGACTTCATTTTCATTTAATCAATAAATATTTATTGGACAACAATGTAGAGCACATTGCGCTGTTCTCTAGGGAGAATATACTGGTAGAATAAAGGTGTGAGACAAGAAGAAATTTTCCTTAGGTTCTTTCGGTTGGTCTAATAATCAAATAGACATGAAACAGATTAGCAAGAGAAAAAGAGTCAAATTTAATACATACGTATGTATGGGAACCCCACGTACATGAGAGACTCAGAGACCACATGAATAACAGGTTCAAAGACAGAAAGGGAAAATGGGTATATATCACATTCTGATCTAGGAATGAGGTAAAGCATCTTGAGATTTCAGAAGGTAGTTGAAGGGAGAGCACATGTTCAGTAATTAGTAGTTTGCCCTATCCTACAGATAGGTCATAAGAGGTTATTTCTGATAATCCCTTATTATGGGCAAGGGCCCTAATTCAAGTTCTTGTAGGTAGTTAAGGGAGGGACAGAAGTTTCTTTTGAGCCTGCAGCTAAAGTTGCCATTAGCTCAAAACAATTCTCATCCCACAGAGGCACATCTTGGGTGACTCGTTCTGAAGCCCCACAAAGGTAATAACAGTAATGAAGGTAGTCACAGTAATGAGGAGCTAACATGTATGGAGTGCTTATTATGTGGAAGACACTTTACATGTATTAACTCATTTAATTTTCCCAACCACCCTAGGAGGTAGTTACTAGTATCTCATTTAACTAAGGTCCTGAGAAGTAACTTGCCCAAGGTCACAAAACTGGTATTTGAACCCAGGTACTCTGGCTGTCCTGACTTTGAATAGCTTCTTATCTAATAAAGGCATTCACGTAAGTAACAAGTAACTTATAATAAAGGGGCATAATTTTTTAAATGCTGAAAAGTACAGTGGTATATTTCAAGGCTAGGAAAATGTGATCAGGTTGAAAGAGGAGCATCAGGAAAGGTTTCTTGTAAAAGTAAGAGAACTTTTAAGAGTATGGTTTTTTAAAAATCATCAATAGTCAATACATTTATTTTAGTCATTTTCATAAAAACAGTACTCTCTCAAAAATGGGTTGTAGCAACAGTTTTATGTAAATGAAAATATTCATATCCATGGTTACTTTAAATATGCCTGGTTCGGTTTAGCTCCATTAAACAAAAGAATAGGGCAATTATTATTGCTCCCACACCTACAAACAAAGTAAATGGAAGATGCAGTAGAGCAGAGAACAGATAGCTGTTTACTCACACTACACTAATGAAAATAAGTTCAAAATATATGTGCTCTTTAAGAATCTTGATGTAAAAGATCACATCATTTTGCAATCATTTGCCATCACTGCCAAACACTTATTTTGCCAAAGGCTTTTTAACAATGCAGAATATTTGTACAAAACTAATTAAGCCAGCAATACCTGGGCAAAATACTTTAAAATCTGTGTAATAAATCTCACAGAAGAACATGCCTCTGCATTTCATGACACCTAAACATGTTGCCTGAACTGAAGAAGGTCCTTAATACCAATGAATTAGTTTTATTATTTTTTTTTAATATATTTTATTGATTTTTTACAGAGAGGAAGGGAAAGAGATAAGGAGTTAGAAACATCGATGAGCTGCCTCCTGCACACCCCCTACTGGGGATGTGCGCGCAACCAAGGTACATGCCCTCGACCGGAACTGAACCTGGGACCCTTCAGTCCACAGGCCAACACTCTATCCACTGAGCCAAACTGGTCAGGGCCCAATGAATCAATTTTAAAAGTAGTTATCTTCTAGAACCTTAATTTACAATAGGTATTTAAATCTATATTTAATGCTATGTTTTCACAACCCTCTATTTTTGATATAGTCTTTTCTTTCCAATTTGGGCTACGATAGTACACTAGTATTCTAGAAATGTACTAACCCTCTCCCCTTCATTTTGGCAAAAAAATTACAGTACCTGGGCACTAAGATACAAAAAATTCATGTGACTAATCCAAAAAGTGGAAAATAAAAAAGAGGCAAGAATCCTAAGAATGTACTTACGTACTTAAGTAGTAGTTTTCATGTAAAATCAAAGTTTACCTGTTTAAAAATTGGATAATAAAAACAAATTCCTATTATTCACACAGGGCAAGGGAGCAGCAGTGACAAATGAAGGCATATAGCACATCTGGAAACAGTAACTAATGTAGTCAAATGTGTCTAAAACAAAATTAGCTTGGGGCAGGACATCAAAACATTAAGTTAGGAATTTCTGGTTAAAGAGGATAGATTGAATATAAGCATTTAGCTCTGAAACTTCTCCAAATATCTCTGAAACAAGAGTAAAGAAACTCTTTAAAATATCATAAACCAGAAACAATTTTAGAAGCTGGAAAGCAGAACAGGTGATAATGACTGTTATACCTGAGAAAGCTGAATCCTACATTACTAGCCTAGAGGAAAACCAAAGACACCTGGTTTTATCACTTTACATTTATACCAAAATACCACTAAAATCCTTGGAAATGTGGTAGGTTCCAGGGTTGAGGCAGGGAAAATAAAAGATGGGCTGAAGCATTATTTGGTAACACTTGTAAGGAGTGCTCAAAAAGAAAGAATGACCACAGATGCCAATCAGAAAGAGCTCCCCTTGGTCAAGATTGAAACAGTTTGAGAAAATAATAATAATAATAACAACAGTATTGTGTTACAATCCAAAGAATAAAATAAATACCTGTTAAGTCTATACTGATATAAATAATCAACGGGGGAGAAAGGACAACTCTTCCTCACAGAATTCCAATTAATTATTGTAGAAATAATGAGGGAAATAAAAATCGCTACTAGAATACAAGAGTAATAAGGATGCTAAAATTAATGGGCATAAATTTAAGCAGAAACAGGATATCTGCATGGTCTCAAAGTATTTAGTAAAGAGGAAAATAGTAACTTTACAATGGAGAAATCTAGCAGACACTACCTTAATTAACCAAGTGATCAAGGTTAACATCCCCAGTAGTCCATATCAGCATCATATCTCCCCACCATCTCTGAATGGTGTACTGAGAAGGACACGTCTGTGATATCCCTCTTTAATTCATAACCTCAATCTAATCACGAATACAAACTAGACAAATACAAATTGAGGGTCATTCTACAAAATAACTGACCAGTATTGTTCAAAAGTGTCAAGGTCATGAAAACGAAAAAAAACTAAGAAATGGTCACAGATAAAGGGAAACTAACCTGATCTGATGTGGGATCCTGAATTTGGATCTTGGAACAACAACAAATTAGTGGAAGAACTAATAAAATCTGAATAAATTTTGTAGTAGAGTTAATAGTATTATAGTAAGGTTAATCTCTTACTTTTCATAAGATGTTATAACAGAAGAACCAGCTTGGTGAAGGGTATATGGGAATGCTGTATTCTTCTTGCAACTCTTCCATAAAAAAATTAAAAAGAAAAAAATAACCTAAACGGCTCAAGAATGGCAGTTTCAGATACTCTGGGATAAGGGTGGAGTTCAAACTAGAACAGACTGCAGTCTGCTTAAAATAACCCCAGATCCTCTCTTCTACTCTTGGACCCTCCCTGGCAAAAGACTGAGCAATCTCTGGAGAGCATAAAAGAGGGTATCTCTGGACTAGAGGACACCAGGTTCAACTGAATTTGAGGAGGGCTATACTGAACACTGGGGAAATTAAATAAAAGTGTACTTGCATACTTTATGATGAAACCCACATACCCTTTTCCTACTCAGATCCCAAGCTTTTTCCCTTTGGGCAAAAGATCAAACACCTTTTCTGTGAAATCAATCCAGCACAAGAGAAAAGATATGTCATTGGGAGTCTGCAAGGAAATTATCCAGACATATCAACCTACAGGGGAAACCATAATCACCTACTGGCATAACTTCCATTCAGCTTTTTTTTTTTTCAATTAAATTTTTGGGGGTGACATCCTATATAATAAAAGCCTAATATGCAAATTGTCGCTTCCACTGGGAGTTCGACTAGGAGTTCAACTAGGGGGCGAGGCCAGCCAGCCAACCGCCTGCAGCCGCTCCCCACGCTGGCCCCGGCCCTGGTTGGCCCCCCCAATCCTGATTGGGGGCAGGGCTGGCCAGCCAACCTCCTGCATCTCCTCCCTCGGCCAGTCCGGCCCGATTAGCCCCAATCGGGGCAGGCTGGCCGGACCTCACCCATGCACAAATTCATGCACTGGGCCTCTAGTTGGTTAATAAGATTATGTAGGTTTCAAGTGTTCAAGTCTATGGTATACCACCTGTATATTGCATTGCGTACCCAATACCCAAAGTCAAATCTTCTTCCTTCACCATATATTTGACCCCCTTTACCTATATTAGCCCCCCCCCCTTTACTCTGGCAACCACCATACTGTTGTCTGTGTCCATTCAGCTTTTTAAGGTACTTCTCTTAAATAAGTGTTGACTTCCAAGGATCACCAAACATCCAAGGAAAGCCCCCAACAGGAAGACAAAACTCAAAGCAATCAAACAGAAGGAAATTTGGAGAAAAGAGAGACTATGCAGAAAAGAAAACTACCAATAATTTCCTCAGAAAGAGAAGACATTGCACCATAAAACAAAAACAGGATATAATTTAAAACTATTTCCAGAAAAAAAATAGTGCTTGAAAATTAAACTTGATAGCAGAAATAAAACATTAGTAGAACTGGAAGATAAAGTTGAGAACAATTTCCCAGAAGACAGGGGGGAAAAAAGAGAAAGAAATGGAAAATAGATGAAAACAGTCAAAATTAGAGGAACCACTCTGTAGGCCTAACACCTAAACAATAGGGATTCAAGAGAGAGCACAGAAAACAAAGGGGAAAAAAATTATTTAAGGAAATTTCTCGGAACTGATGACATACATTCAAGATTGGATAATATTACCCTGAACCCAGCAGGAATGGATTAAAAACAGACCTATTCCAAGGCACGTACTACAGAAATTTCATAACTCTAAGTAAAAAGATTATCCAAGCTTCCAGAAAAAAAAAAGTTTAGTGAAAAAGAATTTTTAGACATCTGATATCCCAACTGCAACACTGAGAGAGAGAAAAAAAGACAATGAATCAATGTTTTCAAAATTCTGAGAGAAAATTATTTCTGATGGAGAATTCTCTGCCCAAACACTTTATAAAGCAAGGGGATAGAAACAACATTTTCAGACATGTAAGTCTTGAAAAAATTATATCCCATCCAGAAAGCTATTGAAAGTGGTCCTTCAAAAAATGAGAAGGTAAGCAAAGAAAGATGAAGACATCAGATATAGAACCAGCAGCTCCAAAACAAGAGAGACCTGAGAAGATAAGATGACAGTAGAGGCAACAGCAGGAATTCAAGGAAATTCAAACAAAAAAACTGGTAGGTCTGGACGTAGTACGGAATTTTATATACTTGAGAAGAGAGTTAGGATTAAACCAGGATTTCTCAACCGTAACACTAATGACATTTTGGGGCACATAATTCTTAGTTGTGGGGGGCTGTCCTGTGCCGTGTAGAATGAAATTTGGCAGTATGGCTGGCTTCTGCTCACTAGATATCAGTAGCACACTCTGCCCTCCCTCCACCTACCTAACATTGCCAAGTGTCCTCTATGTTGCCCCCAGTTGAGAATCACTTGGCTAAATTAATATATATCTAAAAAACTAAACAAAAGCAAATTTATAAAAATATTAACTCAGGGAAAACAATCACAGTAAACTACATGGCTCAACTATGAATAGTTGAAAGTCTCATTGATATAAACTGTGAGTACTGATGTATCCAAACAATTTGAATATGACAATATTGAGAGGGTTGAGAAGTGTGTCTTTATGTGTGTGGAGATAGTGGTAAACCATTTCTTCCTCTGTGGGAAGTCAGTAAATAGTCCCTTAAAATGAAAAATCAAGAAAGAAAACTATTAGCATGCTATTTTAAGATATGGAGCTAAATATCAAAAGCATGAGTTGAAAGTAGTTGCTTCTGGAGAGCCTGAAATAGAGTGGAAAAAGAATGTGCAGAGAGTTATAGTTTTTGTTTAGTCCTATAGATCCTTTCAACTTTTAAATGTGTGCATGTATAACTTTGATAAAAATTAAATTAAAGAAATCAATCAAGACTAGAATATAGACTTTCCAACTGGTTAAGGCCACATGAACTTAAAATTAAACAACATGCCCTAACCGGTTTTGCTCAGTGGATAGAGCGTCAGCCTGCGAACTGAAGGGTCCCAGGTTCGATTCTGGTCAAGGGCATGTACCTTGGCTGCGGGCATATCCCCAGTGGGGGGCATGCAGGGGGCAGCTGATCGATGTTTCTCGCTCATTGATGTTTCTAACTCTCTATCCCTCTCCCTTCCTCTCTGTAAAAAATCAATAAAATATGTTTAAAAAAAAACAAAACAACTATACAACTTTAAGCAAGTTACTTAACCTCTCTAAGCCTTACTGTCTTTATCCACAAATAAATAGTGAAAAGTAGGTATTTCAAAAGGCTGTTATAGAAATTTAATGAGATACTATATGTAAACTGTTTAGTATAGTGTCTGGCACATGGTAGTGTGTATAAATAGCACCCATTGTTGAATTTCCAATGGAGGGTACTAAATATAAACTTTAAAGCAGGTAAATCTTAATGTCATCTGTTTTAGAAAATAATTATGGCAGTTGTGAGAAGGATGGGTAGGAAAGAGAAGAGCTTGGAAGCAGAGAGACCATTACAAGAGCTACATCTGAGTGAGAAAAGAGATAGACTCAGAGCCATGGATAGAAAGGTAAGGGTACAAGAGATATTTTCCAAGTGATGAACCACCTATAGTATATATGTGAAAAAGGAAAAAGGAGGAGTCAAAACAATGCTCCTAATGTAAGCAAATAAATAGATGATGATGACACTAAATGAATAAGAGAATAAAAGTAAGAATTATGTTGGAGGATGATGTGAGTACAGGGAGAAAAGATAGATGAGATTAATATTACCCACACTAAGCAATACATTTCTATATAAATAACTCTATATAAATAACTAAGTCAAAAACTACAATCAGATCATCTAAATTTCTTTTTTTTAGTAATGTACATGGCTCACTATTGAAATATATAAATACTAGAGGCTCAATGCATGAAATTCGTGCAAGAGTAGGCCTTCCTTCCCCCAGCTGCTGGCACTGGCTTCCCTCCGGCCGCCGGCAGGCACCCAGGATCCAGGATTCCCTGGCAGCCCCAGCTTCGTCCGGAAGATTGTCCGGAAGGACATCTGGAAGGATGTCTGGTCTAATTAGCATATTACCCTTTTATTATTATAGATAGCCCAATAATCCAGATATCCAGAAACAGCAATTGTTAATATTTTAGAGTCCTTCTAAATTTTTCAATGCATATAACCCTAAAGAGTTTATTTTTTCCATGACAAATTGGAATCATATACAACTCTGCATTCAGTTTTGTTCACTTTATTAAATAAGTATTTACAATGATAAGTGAAATACTAATGACTTATATTAAACACTTCAATTTATGTAAACCACTAATTAGTATTTCCTCACATACTTGCCTCTTACTATAAAGGAGAATCAATACCCCAAATTTAAGAAAAAAGACTAATTTTAAAAGAACCACCAAAAACAACAATGACTACTGCAGTACATTTTCTCAAGTAATTTAATTAGGAGAAATAATATTAAAATAACATTTATTTGACATGCTCCAGAATAGATATTGATGATTTTATAAAAACAAAACCACACAACAGAGATGAAAAACAAGTTGTTTCAATGATTCTGGGGGGCTCTCAATATCAATGGCCCATATATAGTTGTGAGGTCGCTGTGAAGCTCAAATGGTTTAATACATACAAAGCACATACAATAGTATCTGATATATAATAAATGCTTAGTAAATATTGGTTATTACTACCATTATCATTAGTTCCAGGCAGAAGCTTTGTTTATTACATGGAAAAGAGAAGCAGAAAAAGCAACATTGAGATATGGAACTGCATTCTTTTTCTTTCATTTTTCCATCTTCTCTACATTTATATACTCCTGAGACACCACTTTAAGTGTTGCAGTGAAAAGTATTATTTTAAAAGCATTAGTAAATATTCACCTTATC